TACGGGCCCCACAACACCCACCCCGCCCTCACCCTGCGCCCCTCCTCCCTGCGGGTATGGGCCCCACAACACCCACCCTGCCCTCGACCTGTGCGCCTTCACCCTCTGGGTACGGGCCCCCCAACACCCACCTCGCCCTCGCCCTGTGCCCCTCCTCCCTGCGGGTACGGGCCCCACAACCACCCCCGCCCTCACCCTGCAGCTCTCCCCGGGGGTGAGGCCGTCTGCCCATCCCAGCCAAGCCGGCAGTATTGAGGAGACGAGGTGATGCCAGCTGGGCGGGTCCTGCTCATACCCCCCATGCCCATCTGCCTTGCCCTGCCCCAGTCCAGGCCCTCGTCCCCTCCACACTGCCCCGCCTTCGGGGTACCGTGGGGGGAGCCGAACTAGAGCCCGGGGCTCCCCGTGCTTGGGGGGGCTGCGAGGTTCCGGCGTGTCTAGCAGCCAGTTGTCTGGGGAGCTCGGGGGTCACCCTGCCCACGGCTCCTGGGGGTCACTGGGATTCAGCAGCACCGGTGGGGAAAAGGCCCCTCTGCCAACAGACTTCCATTCCCAGTCCTGGCAGAGAGCCCTGGGCCCCGCAACTGACCGATGTGGAACATGGCCCCACACACGTGTCGGACACACACAGAGACCCAGGCCCCGTTACTGACCGAGGTGTGACATGGCCCCACATGCGTGTCGGACACACACGGAGACCCAGGCCCCGTTACTGGCCGAGCTGTGACATGGCCTCACACGCGTGTCGGACACGCACACCCTGGCTCCCCGGCAGGGTGGTGAGCAGGGTTTAACCCTTCGAGCCCCGTGGCCTGAGCTCTGCGCCCCGTGTCCCTGCAGGCTGCCGTGGTGGTGGTGTTTAACTTCGCCATGGTGCTGCTCATCTTCCCAGCCATCCTGAGCCTGGACCTGCACCGACGCCAGGACCAGCGGCTCGACGTCCTGTGCTGCTTCTACAGGTGCCGTCTCCCGCCGCCAGGAGGGGTGGGGGGCGCCCAGGGCAGAGCCAGGCCCGTGCCGTGCTCCGGGAGGGACGGCGATGGGCGGCAGAGCCCACGTGCCAGGCACGGCTGGGCCCAAGTGTGCGCCCGCAGACAGCCCCTGTGCAGATCATCCTGCCGGGCCAGGATCGGGCCCCAGCTGGCAGGGCTAAGCAATGGCTCTGGGGGGTGCTTGGGGCCTCGCCCCCCGGCTTGAGCACAGCTGGGCGCCTTTCCTGAGGCGGCCGGGGGGGGTCGCTCCAGGGAGAAATCCCACTCCCAGCAGTGGGTGCGGTGACCACCAGGGCAGCCGTGCGTGGGCAGAGGGGCACCGGCACCCATGGCAGCTCTTTGAACGTCCCCCGGCTCCTCCTCCCCCAGCCCGTGCTCCTCCCGTGTCATCCAGATCCAGCCGCAGGAGTACGCCGACGCCAACGAGAACCACGCCTCTCACCCCTCGCCCTACGGGCACCCGGCTGTGGCCACCAGCACCCAGATCACCACCACGGTGCAGGCCTTCACCCGCTGCGACCCTTCGGGCCGGCACGTTGTCACCATCCTGCCGCCCACCGCCCAGGTCTGCACCGCGCCGCTGGCCCCTGCCGACCCGCTGGGCTCCCAGCTCTTTGCCCCGGCTAGCTCCACCCGCGACCTGCTGGCCCAGCTGGACGGGGCCAAGGGGGGCCGGGAGTGCGTGCCGCTGCCCCTGTGCCGCTGGAATCTGGCCGACTTCGCCAGGGAGAAGTACGCCCCCCTCCTGCTGCAAACCCAGACCAAGGTAGGAGGGCTGGCCCCTCATCCCCCTGGGGAGGGGTGCAAGGTGGGGGGCCGGGGGCGGACCGGGGTAACTCCCAGGCTGTCCAGGGGAATGCTGGGGGGCTCCCTGGCACTCCGGGGGGAGCTGGGTGCCCACTGCTCGCTGTGGGCCTGTGCTGCAGGGCAGGGGGAGGAGGGCTGTGCCAGGGTGGCTCTGCCCTGCCCAAGGGGGCTCCCGGCACAGCCTGACGGGCTCCCCGTCCCCAGGGCATCGTGGTGCTGCTGTTCCTGGCGTTGCTAGGCCTCAGCCTGTATGGCAGCACACTGGTGCACGACGGGCTGTACCTGACGGACATCGTGCCGCGGGGCACCAAGGAGCACGCCTTCATCGCCACCCAGTCCAAGTACTTCTCCTTCTACCACGTCTTCATCGCCACCAAGGGCGGCTTCCACTACCCCAGCTCGCAGGAGGCGCTATACGGCCTGCACCG